AAAAAAAATAAAACAAAAAAATACCCACTGCACACAGCAATCGAGAGGTATATTCAATCCACAGCGGTCTATAGTTTTTATATAGTCTCCATATAGCTGAAAATAAAATGCAGTATCATTAAACAAATCATTTCCACTAACATCATCTTTTCTTGTAGCATAACCTGCAATATAAAATTTTGATGGCTTTTCTGGCAATTTGTGGATACCATGCTAATAGAAATGTTTATGAAACAAACTAATCAAGCACCTAATTTTATTAGGAATTGAAACTTCTTTGTAGGAATCAACATGCTGCTCATCAAATGCATATCCCATCAATAAAAAAAAATGTTAGTTAAAAATGGGCTAAGCCTAGTGAATACAGCAAGTGGTGTAGCTGCTTCCAGTTAAGTGCTTTGATTATATCCAGAGCCGGGTTTGCTTTGTGTTTAGGTACATTGTCATGAAACAAAATTACTTTGCCATGTCTTCTGGTCCATTCTGATTGTTTTTCGATCAATGTTGGATTCAAATTGATCATTTGTTGTCTGTAGTGATTAATATTAACAGTTTAACCAGGTTTTAGAAGCCATAATACACCACACCTTTCTAATCCAACCACAGAGCTTTGTCTTCTTGCCGAATCAATCTATTTTGGGGTCGATATTTTGGCTGTCCTGGTTTATTATTATTTTTATTATATTATTAACATAAGTAGGTGTAATTTATATTTTCATTTTTTTTAATTTATGCTTGCTTTTATTTATTAATATTGTTTTTTTGTTTGTTTGTTTATTTATTATATTTAGGTGTTACTCCAATGACTAGTTTTTAACTATATGAGTGACACCTAACCTAATTTTGTAAAATTATAACAAAACTTGTAAAATGATTTAAAAAAAACAAACTCTGAACTGTTGAAACCATTATTTGCATGTTAAAAATAAAAACAAAAAATTAATGCTTTCTGCAAATATTCACTATCTGGTAAAAAATTTGACATTTTTAACACAATAAAAAATATGATGTTTGTTCAATGATTTGATGTATATTAAATATGTTTGACAGATCTTATACCAACCAAACAAAAACAAAAAAAGGGCTCTTTAACAACAAATGTTCCCTAAAGACACATTTGTATCTCGCTCACTCATTTAACTTATAATTTAAGCTTATAATTTTTTAAGTCCTAAAATTTTGATTTTAATAAAAATGATTATCAATCTAAACTCATTTTGATAATAATTTTGATTTCAATAATTATTTAATAATTTAAATAATAAAAAAAAAAACAATAATTCAATAATTTTGAATTCAATAATTATTTCAATGAAAATGTAATACCAAAGAAAATGATTATCAAATGTTTTTTTGTGGTGGTATTTTTTTAAATAAAACTTTAAACCGGTAAAGCTGGTATTATGATTCAACTCCGATAATTTTAAACCTCCTGATAAACCTTTGATACACCTTTATTACATTCCTATTATACATAGCCAAGGCCGGCGCGATAGGGGGGTGTCACACACCCCCCAATGATTTTTAGTTGGCAAACTGGACCCTTAGTCGGCAAAAGTTGTAATGGCACTCCCAACCCCCCCCCTTCCCCACGTGACACCTACTCGCGCCGGCCCTGTACACAGCTATGCATAAAAGTTTAATCAAGATATTAATTTAATGAAACTTTTCTGTGTCTTTTTCAATCAAAAAAATAAGGAAAGTTACTGAGACATAATTAAAAAAAATGATTATGTCTCAGTAATTTTATTAATTACTGAGACATAATCAAAAAAAAAAAATGATTTTGTCTCAGTAATTTTAATAATTACTGAGACATAATCAAAAAAAAAAAATGATTACGTCTCAGTCATGGAGATACTTATTACGGGCCTTCCCATCGCGAATCTGTATTTTTAACTGGGGGCGGACAAAGTTACGGAAAAAATAAAAAATGGCTAGAAAAGTTTGCGAACTAATCCATTATTTTTAGTTAGTTTGCTAAATTTTAAAAGTACTGTATTAATGCAAAAAATGTCTATTGCAGTGTTTCAAAAATACAATATTTTTCAGAATAATGAGTTGTAATTATTTAAAATCTAAATCACAAAAAAATGAACAAACTTTAAAAAAATGCAACAAAAAAAAAAAAAAAGGAAAAAAACATCATAATATACATCAAGTAAAAAGAAAAAAATATCAAAATATACATCAATAATGTTATAAAAAAATGTACATAATAATTTTTTAATGTTATACAGATAACTTTAAAACCTTCATTGCAATTGGTTTCAAAAAACCAATGCAGGTTCTATATTGGACTTTGGTGAAAAAAGCAAACAATAATTTTTAAAAAATATGTTTGATAATATTGTACCATGTTTCTTTAACATATTAAAGTTATATATATCAGATATCATCATAAAAGTATTACACAATGACTTTCTACACATTTTGTTTTTCTTAATTTCAAAAAAAATAAAACAAAAAAATACCCACTGCACACAGCAATGGAGAGGTATATTCAATCCACAGCGGTCTATAGTTTTTATATAGTCTCCATATAGCTGAAAATAAAATGCAGTATCATTAAACAAATCATTTCCACTAACATCATCTTTTCTTGTAGCATAACCTGCAATATAAAACAAAGCCATTTTTGTACTCAATGACAAAGATGATTCTAGTTCATGTAATTGATTAATGAAATCACAAGATTCTTCACTTATAAAATAGCCACATTTTTGACAAGAATGCTCGATATCAATAGCATAATCTGTAACATCAACTTTTAATTGCAATAACAGTTTAGCTTTTTCGATGTTTAATTTTTCAACAACATTTTGAACTGTTATAAAGTATGTTCCACCTGAACCTTGCCTAAACTTACTGAATGCTTTTTCAATGTTATCTGTTGAAAACTCTCCTAACATAACATAATCAAAATTGTTTTTTAGCAAGTATTTACACATCTCGACGACTCCATAACAAGTATGCCAAATTGAAGTACCTGTATCTTTAGTTAAAGATTTCATTCTATGACCTTGTTCACCACTCATTTTAAATGCCATATCTCCAAAATCAAGTAAATGCTGCAAATTTATGTCTAATTCTTCAGAAATAACTCTCTTACGAGAATCTGAAAATTTCATATCACCATAAATTTCTTTTACAATTTTCCAAAATTTAGTAACTTTTTCTAAAAACAAATGGTTTCATTCATATTGCAAGGGTGGATATCTTTTTGAATAAGTTTAAAGAGCAGTTATAGTTTCATCGCAAAATACTCTTAAACAATGTGATTCCTGGATTCCTGCATTTTTTCTGTAATCCAGTTGTTCCTAATATTTTTTAGTAGATGAACATAATTAAAAAGGAGAAAAATTCCACATTTTGTTAACCATGGTTTTCCTTCAACTCTCTCAAATAATTTAAAAAAAGCTTGTTTTGTTCGATTGCCATCACAAATAACTGAAATTATTTTTCCATTGCTAGACTTAATTAAATTAATGACATAGCATACTTGCTCAAACAAAATGAAGCATCCAAATGACAGACAGGTATCATTTTGCATAAAAAAGATGGTCCACCTTTTAAACATTTAACCTTAATATCCAAAACACTATTTGCTAACAACTCTGGATTATTTTCCGCTTTTCCAAAAAGATACCTACTATGATAAAGAAGAAGAGACTTAACATAAATTTCATTCACCAAAAGTATACAATTTCTATGATTTTCCTCTAAATTTGAAAAAATGGTACTAATAAAGTCAATATCTGAAACTTTTTTGTCATAGATGTAATTTTTGTTAATGTTTTTACACTTGGCAATTTAAAATCTTTTGGTACCTGAAAAGATTTTAAATTGAAAAATAACAATAGGATCTGATTATAGTTTCTACTTTATAAATTTTTTTACCTACTTCTGATGCATTCAAAAGTTTAAAAAGCGAGTTTCTTCAACTCTTGACCAGCGATCAAGATATGCCATACAATTTTTTGATAGTGAAGAAATAAAACAATGAAAACTTTCAAATTTAAAATTGATTGAGATATGAACAGTATACATAATAAAACAGTTAACATAAAAGAAATTTGATTGGATGTGCAAAACATCCTTTATAACAAAAGTTGTTACAGGACAAATAAATTTACGATTTTTAATATCTTCACATAAAAAAATGAATGTAAACAAATCATTTTTTAAATATTGCGACAACTCATCACACTTTTCAGTTCTGATAGAAGACAACACTTTAGTAGTGGACCTTGGTTTTAAAGGTTGAGTTGGTACAACACTAGCTGGAATGTTTGGAAAAATTGAAGGAGGTTCAATTGGTCTAACTTTCCCATTGACAATAGTTGTTAAAAAATTTTCTGGAAAATATCTTTCACCGACAACAGTGTCTGGTTTATTTGAAAATAACTTCTTGGAATTGAGTTTATCCAAGGATTTCTTTCTTCTTCATTGGACGGAAGCCTAAAAACTTGTACTTTATTTTTAGCGTCATAGTTTCCTCTACATTCAGGAACACAGCACTTTTTAACCATTTATTGTAACAATCAATTACCCACAAGTCGAACTTTAAGAAAACTAAAATATATCTTCCTGTAAGATTGTCCGCCCCCAGTCTAAAATACGGATTCGCAACGGGAAGGCCTGTAATAAGTATCGCCATGGTCTCAGTCAATAAAAAATTATTGTCTCAGTAATTTTATTAATTAAAGTAGTAAATAGATGTTTTTATTTTTTCTAGATATTTTTTGTCTATTTTAAATTAACATAGATAATATAAAATAAAAGAAAATAAACTTCAAATATGTTTCTGTTAAAGTTTAATATGAAAAAAAGCAAATATATGTTTATTTATATATATATCAGTCCTAGAACTTAGAAAAAATAAGATCAGCAAAAAATTTGCTGACCTTACTTTTAGATAATTCAGTAGGCTGATATATATACATATACATAGATACATATATATTCATACATACATATTTTTTTTACTTTTTTTTTAG